GAAGAATGAATAGAAAAAGAAGGGGAACCGAGGATGTTCCAGATCCCACAGAATGGGATAGATTTGGAGGATAAAGATTGTAAGGTGAAGAGAAAAAGGGTGAAGGAGTGAAACCAATTACTGAAGGACTGGGGCTGGAAGAATGGATGGTTTTGGTATACCCATGTGGCCAAGGTCCCTGGAAGAAGGTGGCTCGACCAGGACGACTCCAGCCTCAGCAGAAACCGCCAGAGGGAGAAGGGGCATGTCACCCCTGCTGCGGGACAATCTTGTGCGATACAAGTGATTGCCTGAGAAGACCTACGAACCATGAACGCTTCGGCCAGTCTTCCCAGTGAAGAGAGATATGTATGAGACCATGTTACCCCTGTCGTGGACCGATTTACCTGTTGATGTTGATTCTGCTGACCCTGTTGAAGTTGTGATAGACAAACCTAATACAGGTAGTTGTGTTAATAAAGGATTGTTCAAAGAATCTCCTCTCCTGTCATTTCCCATCCAAATCAAGGAACTGTCAAACACGGGCAAAGAACCCGATCACAATCCTGTAGTGCAGAGGTTCCCAACCCACGGTCCGTGGCCTGAGCCGGACTGGGCCACACAGACCTCCCCCCCACTCCCCCCTTTTGCTCATTTGCTCCTGCACGTGCGTGCCTGCGTCCACATGAGCGCTCCCCCACCTCTATGCGCATGAGCGCCCCTGAGCGCTACACCGCCCTTTGCGCATGCACATGAGCACCCACAAGTGCCATGCCACCATTTGCGCATGCACACCAGCACGCGCGAGAGCGCTCATTTGCGCATGCACACAAGCGCAGGGGGTGCCCTGCCTTCCCCAGCTGGTCCGTAGGGCTAAAAAGGTTGGGGACCGCTGCCATAGTGCCTCTGAAAGCGTATTTATTGATTGATTGATTGATTGATTGATTGATTGGACTTATATACCGCCCCATAGCGCTACAAGCACTCTCCAGGCGGTTTACAATTTTAATTATACAGGCTACACATTGCCCCCCCCCCAGGAAGCTGGGTACTCATTTTACTGCTCTGTAATATCCAGTAGCTTCTTTAATAGCTCATGCATCACTGGTTTTTCTCCATTCTTCCATTTTTGGGCCCAGAGTAACCTAGCTGCAGTAAATATATACAGTAAACTATATTTTATTTTCTTATCAATTTCTGGCATTATATTCAATAATATTTCAGGTTTAAAACTTAATTTTTGCTGAACAATTTCTTGTGACATTTCATAATTCATCCATCCGACTTTTCCCCTCAAGAAAGGCCATATTTTGTCCTTTTTATATCTTGATTCTACTTTCAGCATTGACCATCAATCTGTCACCTTACCCAGTTTCTCTATACAGTATCTTGTTTATTTTTTTATTACCTTACTATCTTTCTGTCTACGTGCAGCCTATCTACCTTGCAGGATCCAAGGCAGCTTAAAATACATATTTAAAAGATGCAAACTGAAACATTACAATTACAGTAAACTCCGCTATTAAACCAGTATTAAGCACATTCAAAATAATTTTTATTTGTGCGCCTGTTTAGTGCCTGTAGCAATTGTGGTTTCATTTTTTTTAAATTTTTTCCATATTTCTCTTGCACACCATCCCGAGCAGTGATTGGCCAGACAGGCAGGCAATATAAACTAAATAAATAAATAAACAAAGGAAAGGAAAAATTAAAGTTTAAAATCATTTAACATCAAAAACAACATGACAACATCACAATGCTCATCATTACAAGACCTGTTTAAAGAAAAATGCCTTTGCTGGCAAAACAGAAGCAAGCAAGGAGTCAGCCTAGCTTCCCTAGGAAGGGACTTGCCTGGGGACAGCCACTAAAAAAAGCCCTCACCCTTGTCCTTACCAGATATGCTTGTGAGGGTGGTGGGACAAAAAGACAGGGCCCTCCTGATGATCTTAGGACCCAGACAGGTTCCAATAGGGTGATGGTTCTTCTGGTAGCTTGGATCCAAACTAAAAGTTTTATAGGAGGTCGCTAACACTTTGAATTGAACAGTACCAATGTCTTTGCTGCAACTACTGCTTGAGGGGCTGACTTCAAGTGGATTCTAGCTCACACTTGGTCTGCTCTTGATTTTTTGCTGTTATCACTCCAATCACATCAAGTTTTATAGCTGCCAGCTCCCTAGGAAACCAGGTTAGTTTGGCTTTATTCCATAGGAAACACTTGGGAACATTTGTATCCCGTGCCCTGGCCACTTTCCCATTCCAGAAATCAACCAGAACTTCCAAATAATTGCTGCTGAAGTGAGAAAAAATTCCCCAAGAGCCATCAGGAAACCACATAGATATATAAGCTCCCTGAGACAGATCATCTTGCTAAGTTCTGCGCTGCTACAGAAGTTCTAGTGAGACTAAACCATGACAGGTAGTGATTTGACCATGACAATTTAAATACACAGAGTTACTTCACACTCATCTCATACAACACAGTAAACCAGGTCTAGAGTATGCCCTAGCATGAGTGGGGCCAGATACCACTTGGGACAAACCCATGGTTGTCAGAAGATATAAAGTTCTGAGCCCCTCTGACAAAACAAACTGAAGGAAATCCAGCACTATCCCAAGACCAGCTCAGCTATTTGAGGAAGGACTGTTGAGAAATGAGGGGTGCCTTACTAACATCCACTTTTAAATACAGTGGTGTCTCGCTTAGCGATTGCTTCATTGAGCGATGAAATTGCTTAGCAATGGGGTTTTGTCCATCGCCAGAGCAATCGCTTAGTGAGAGAAGCGATCACCGCAAAGCCCCCATTTTCGGCCAGCTGATCGGCGGTTTCAAAATGGCCACCTGCTGTGTTGCCTCACTTTAGAGGCACCAAAAATGGCCACCGCAATGGAGGATCTTCGCATAAGGTTAGTTTTAAAGCCCATAGGAACGCACTAAACAAGTTTTAATGCGTTTCTATGGGCTTTTAAAAATTGCTTAGCGATTAAGTAGCTTAGTGACTTTTTTCCGGAACGGATTAATGTCGCTAAGCGAGGCACCACTGTATATTCGAATCCAGCAAGACAGTGCAGTAGGGTGTCTAGCAAGGGAGAAAGAAACCTGACAGACCATAGCAGCTCTGCTTCTCCATCCCCAGACCTCACCTGATGGTGGACAAAGTTGACAGAAATCAAACCTCCCCCCTGCTGCCTTCCCCCAGTTTCATCAAGGCACATCTCTAATCCAAGCCAAGTTAAAAAAATTATCCAGGGTCAGGTCACATATGGTTTTCTTGCTCACCAAACTGGCACTAAACAAAAGCGCTTTCAGTTCATGGGGACTATCTCCAAGGATATCGAGGGTATCTGAACTGGGGAATAATTTAAGGGTAATTGTCATGCACCCCCAGTGTCCCGTTAGTTTCCCCACTCACACAGGTTCACCTTCGGACAACTTGTTATTTTAACCCTTTTACGCTGCCACCACAGGATATTACCCTCACTGTACCAAATATGAATCTCAGACTATTACTGACAAATATAACATGGTTTACTTATGGTTTGGTAGGTAAATCATAGAAGTAAAATCACTGATCTTTTATTATTCATTCAATAAACGTGGATTTGATTACATATACGCTTGCTTGCATTCATTCACTTTAATCAAAGTCTCAATATATTCTATGTATTTATTACTTTTAACTTATTCTCTACCACATCAACCTTCCAATCTGTCTAAACACTTCACAATCTTCTCCCTGACTGTGTCTCACCCAGTTCTCTTGACTCCACCCCTCCTGTCCTCTCATAGGCTCCTGCACTAGAGCTCCAAAATGACTGACAGAAGTGACGTGTGGGCTGTCCGCCACAGTAATGAACGCATTTTGACTCTTCCTTCTTCTAAGATGAAACAACTTTCTCTTCTCTATACATTCCTCTGTCCATTACCGTTCCAATGGCTACTCCCTGTCTTTATTTCTCTCAGGGTGACACATGCTTCTTGTAGACAGCAGGCAATGGCCCTACAATACCACTGATTAGCAGGCAAATATTGTATCCCAGAAAACATCTTCTATAAAGCATTGGGATGAGCCCAATGTTCCCTCTAAGCTGTACCACTGCATCTGGGCTGTGCTGCCAAGCCAGTGTTAGTGCCCATTTGCTTTTGTTTGTGGCTAGTACCCCATACACAAGGGGCAGGGCCCCACCCAGTACTCCAGAAAATCAAGAGGAAATGTTGGATGAGCCTCATCTTTATGTTCACCTTTATTGGCTCTCCCAAAGGAATTCCAAGCTTTATCACGTCTCAAGAAATATGCAAAATGCTAACTTGGGGATGCTGGTCAGGCTGTGATCTAAATTATGGGGTAGTGGTGACAACACTAGGAAGCTGAGTAGTAAGGTTATGCTTCCCTCACTTAAAGTAACAAGGATTTTCTACCCCACTTTTCATACTTACTACAGACTAGAGATATATACGTATATCTAAGGCATACAACAGTTTTGTCATTCATGTGACCTACTTTACCCTGCTCTTAATTCACATAATTATAGACAGGCCACACAATGGTTTTCCTTCTCCTTTTCTTTTTACATAAAATAGGAGCCCTGTAATAAGCATCACTGGGTATGGTACAAGCCTAATGCAACAAGACAAAATCACCTCCTGCTCCTCATCGAGAATAACTACCCTATTCCCATTCATACAGTCAATCAAACAAACAAACTGGAATTCCATTTCAACTATTAATGTGTATTAGGACGTAATGTAAAAGAACACTGTTGGGAGTCCCTAAAGTGCTGCTGGCCAGTCACAGTAGACAATAGTGGGTCAGAGGTCTGACCCAAGAAAGCTTTCTGTACCTCTTCCTATAAATATATAACTGGGTGTATTAATTAAAAGGATGGATGTTTATGTATGTTACTCAAGTTCATTTTATTCGTATTACATTGCATCATGTACAGCAGTGGTCCCCAACTTTGGGCCTCCAGATGTTTTTGGGACTTCAACTTCCAGAAACCTGGCCAGCAGGGGTGGTGGTGAAGGCTGTTGTAGTCCAAGAATATCTGGAAGCCCAAGGTTGGGGACCACTGATGTACAGGAACTACTGAAACCATCAAGTAATCTTAAGTATAGTTTCTTGCTTTCAGATGTCAGCCATATATCATAGACATCCAGTGTTGCATTGTGGAAAAGACAGCCATTGTTTTATAGAGAAAGAAACCTACAAAATTAGCTTTGTTTCTGGTCAGTCTTGTACAATCTTTCATTTTTAAAGCAATCAGCAATCTGAAAATAATTTGCTTCACAATAAATGGCCTAGGGCTTCCTTGCCTTTTGGCACAGCAACAGTTAACAGGAAGTGTCCTGTTCAAAGTTACATTTAAGAACTCATTATATTACAAATAATACTGCTAATATGTATTTGCCATTTACATGCATTTTATAAAAAGTTGCATACTATAACATAGAAATTTGCTAACACCCTTTAAAATATTATACAGTACCCGAGTCCTGCGAACCTTCTTTTGCACTATTGCCCCAGCCACAGTTCAATTTTATAAGACCCTACATTCCTAACAATATGTATGCTATGTCTGAATGCACATCTTCTGCATCTGTCTGAACAATTCCAACAAGGCAACCCATATCAAGAAGCTGCTGCTACACGTGTATCTCTACTGATCCACTACTATATCTGAACAGCTTTCTCATACACTGAGAATTTTGTTGAAAAAATGCATATGTCAAAGATAACTAGATTTGAATGTACTTTTTCCTTTAGATCTGATTGCTTCCTCACTTATTCTTCATTGTTAAGAAAATTATACTCTTTATCTTTTCCCTGTCACTATTAGCAGTTCTGCATTGTACACTTTATTTTGTGAACTTTGTCTAGTATGAAAAGCTGTGAAATCAGTTAGTATCTCAGGGACAAATGCAGACCTGCTCTCACCCTTAATTGTCCATTCACTTGGAAAGAGTCATGAGTAGTTTTCAACATCATATTTGTTTAAGAAAAGCAATGGATTATTTACAATATATTTTAATAGACAAAGCCAATGCTTATGTTCATTGTACAAACAGCAATTTCCACATTATAACATATATAAAAGTATAAAACATGATTTTGTGTGAACTGTTTATTTGCTAGTTAGTTTGTGGGACTTCTGTTAAATAATGAACAAGAGGTCGGCCATGAACACAGCTTTTATGCTGATATCCCAGTTCCTTCTTCATTCTGCATACAGTGTCTTGTACATCTTCCTTTGATAAATACAAGGGGAGCTGCCGAGAGAGTCGCACCGCTTCTCCCTATGGAAACAAACATTATTTACATTTGAACATCCAAGTCAGGCTATAATGAATTGAATAATCTATTATTCTAAGGTGGAGAATTTTCAACAGGATATTTTTGCTACTACTGTACATTCTACTGTTTTAAAGAAGTCACTTTCTTATTCTTATGGCCAAAAGCTGGGTTAGATTAGAAAAAACAACTCACTAATCCTATGCTAAAATTTCCTCTTTGTTGTACTCTCCTTCAACCTATCTCTGTAAGACACAGGCTCCCAACCCAAAGTACAGTATGTGGTTTCTATCCATATGTCTATGATGAAGATAATGGGTTACTAGTTGCTTCACTTTCTCAGCAAGGGGTTAAGACATAGAGTTGGGTTCCAACAACATAAGGAATTTGGTCTACATTGGCATCACGGCAGGAGTGGTCAAAGGGTTAAAGACCTCAGCAATGAGTCAGATGGGAGTTGAAAAACAAAAGACTTGATTAACATGATTGGTTATGCATAATGCACTTTCTCAAACTTTGTGTGCTACAATAACACCCAACACTACACTGTAAACAACATGGACATTTCAGGTAGTTTACTGATTGCTGTAATGAAGTGGTTTAAAAAACTCACACATAAGGAGATGGAACAGTGTTCATACAGACCTGACTATAGGACTTTCAATAGGAACGTATGAGCCCCCCCCCCCAAAAAAAGTGGAGAATCAGAAAGAGAATAGATCAATGAGAGCCATTGGTCTGGTGATTCTGTACATGGTATCAGAAAACAAATGTGTACCCACCTGAATGATTAGATTACTCTGTAGTGGTGGACCACCCATGACATTTCCAACATAAGCTATATAAAAAGGTTCTTGATCTCTACACAAGAACAGCTATGCCCTTTCAATATTTCTACATTGTATACTGTATATAGATTGCTTATCTGTATACACAGTTATTAATGAGTAACGCACGGTACATATATTCACATAGGAGTTCTGAACAGGAGCACAGTTTTCTTTAGGTGGTTTTCATTCACTCTTCTTCATATGGCTGCCTCAATTTCTTCAGTCTTCTCTTAGAACTGGCTCAAATACTCTAGAAGAAAAAACTCCTGAGAATCTCCAAAACCCTTTTAAAACTCTCCTTTTGGCACCTCCTCAGGGCCAAAGGCAGCACTAAGCATCCTACAGAGAGCTACACTTTACATGCTTACATAAATTTAAGTGTCTTCCCACTGGCAAGCACACCCACATTAATTCAGGTGGGCTTCTAGCAGATGACTGGCTGTTGAGGAAGGGGCTTTTAAAGCATTAGTGCTGAACTTTAAACAAAGTATGATTTTAAATCAATTGGTTTTTAATATTATAACTTGCTTAACTGTCTTTTAACACTATGATTTGCAAATGTTTCTTCATTTGTACTTATTTTTTAGTCATGTTGGAACACACCTTGAGTCTCATGTCTGGGATAAACGTGGCATACAAACAAGTAAGTAAATGAATAAATCCACACTATTGCATCAAAGTTTATTCAACACAGGTACAGAAACACACATGATCTGCACTCTGGATTGAAAATATTCTAGTATCTATGCACAAATTAGGTTTTCAATGGATATAAATAGAATATTCTTGTCATCTGAATGTGCACAGATAAAACATCAAAGCATGTAGGCACAGAGTGAATGTCCGTTCAGTGTATGTGAATAATTCTCATGCATTGACCTGTCAGATTATGAATTTAGCCAGTTTTCCCAGCTTTTAAAAATGCAATTTTAAAACAATACCTTTTATTAATACTAAATTTTCAAGGTTTGATATTTAAGTTTTGATCCTGGTATTAATTTTTTATGCTTCAAGTAGCAATGTTTTAGATAGAAATATCAAGATAGTGTTTTCCTCAAAATACAGGTACTTAAAGCAGCAAGGGGCACATTTTCAAAATAAAGAGCTATGATTGTTTCTTACCTCCAAGTAGTTTACCACTTTAAGTGGTCTACACTCATGTACTTCCTTTGCATTATTATTTACCACAGCTCTCAGAATTTCTTTTAAATCTGCTACACCATAATACGGGAGACAGTTGGCCATTCCTTCTATTTCCAGCTGATTTTCTACAACTGAAGTACCTATTTATAAATATATAAAACATATACAAAACACATAACAGGTTGGTATCTGGAATAACTAAATTTTTTTGCATCCTATACTTTTCCCCCTAATGTATGAAGAACCATAAGCAGTATCAATTTCCTGTTGTATCTAGGAAAGGGTCAAGCACCAAGAATTATAGAGGTCAGATCAAAAGCAAAATATAAAGCCACATCATACCTGGTATAATTTTGATCTTAAATCCATTTGATATAAGCCTTGAATCCAACAAGTAGGATGATCCATCAAACTGTACACTTTTCTTGGGCATGCTGCAAAGAACTTCCATATAACTTGGCCCACCGAGAAGACTGAAAATCAATTATTTAAGTGTAAGACACTTTCAAACAAGAGACAGAGCTGTAATATTTAAAAACTGAGTGCCCCATAATTCCTAGTATATGTGTCAAAGGAATATTAGAATGACTTCATACAAATTCTTCCTGGTTATTCTATTCAAAACCTGTTACCCGTAGAAGATACCAGCTTAAGACAACCACATGCTGTTAAACCTTGTCTTTCCGCCCATCTTGCTCCTATGGGCCACATTAGCAGAGGGTCACTGCACTTGCTGTCCATCCATTGTCTCTACAGCTGGAGACTCAGTTTTTCTGGTTAGGGATTTAAGGGCAAAACCAAAATAAAGCAATTCCATTACTAATTTCTTGATTTATAGTCATTATCCTATGTGTATCAAGTAATTCTTTTTCAATTTCTTCATTAGTGGAAGGATTTTTTTTCTAAACCAGGAATATCATGCACACTCGGAGCCAATTCTCACTCAGTATTCCTAGCTTTGTAAATTGCAGTTTATTTACCTGGGATTAAGGGTGGGCCAGCACATTCTTCCTCTCCCACTTCTCAATGTGTACAGATTTCAGTGCTTCCAATGCACAGATCTGTAGTATACTGTCAGATTACCAGCCAGTATTAATTCATGGACTAAGTTATACCTCCTGTTTCAGATGTAAAGCGGAATTGTGTTTTACACAGACCAGGTTATCATCACTGAAATGTGGATCTGATTTGTCACTCCTTGCTTAACTGTGGCTTATAAAAGAAAAAAGGGCCCAAGAGATAGGTCTCTACATTAGTGGATATTTATAGAACAAGATCTGTTGATGGAGGATGGCAAACCAACTCTATCACCTGTCAGCTGTGGTACAAAAATTGATTCAGAATTAATGTAGCTGAATTATTATTGCTGCTAGAGACTGGGATATTATTACAGCAGGAGCTGGCCGCTTCCTATGGTCAGGATACAATACCATACCCACCAGAACCCATGAGAACCACACTACTGCTAAATGGGTCACCGGCAGTCATGCTGTCCTTTAATTTGGTAGAAACTGTAATGGCACTCTGTGCTACATGATATGTGGAAAAGAAGGAAGGAAAGAGACAAGCAGGCAGATGGCAACAAGATTCAAATAAAGCACACACTTCAGATTTTACTGGAGTAGGTTTGACTTGTGACATATTTTTTATGGTGCCTCCCTACAATTTTGATAGAACAATTTTAACAGCAGCTGCTGGGCAACACTGCAAGGAGGAGAAAAACAGCATAAGGGCTCTATACATAGCCTATGTGTTTCTTACTCCTGCAGCAAAGCATTAGAAAGAATGTGAGTAAGAGCTGCTGCCACCCAGCCTGTTTCCACTCTGACAATGAATCCTATTCCTTATGCTGAGCCAGATCTTCTAGAATGATGTTGCAGTACATTCACAAGTTGAAAACTGTGATTTCTGCAACTATCAGGTGGATAAAATGCTTTAAGTTGTACATTATGGAACTGATAGCTGGGGAAGGACACTGCAAATTATGGAGGTGGACAAGGACCTTGAAAGAATGGCAGGAGCATAAAGACTAGACTCCGTGTTCCAACAAAACAACATACTCTCATCCAGTACCCCAATACAAAACAAGGTATTCAGCGTGTCTACCTGGAATGCATATCAAGTTCCATAATCATATCAAAGTTAGATAAGCCATTCTCTGCCCTGTCATGCAGGCCCGTTGCGGAACTAAGTTGAAACAGAAGTCCAGTAGGAAACACAGGCTGGAATTCTGTTGTGCAACTTTTTGTCACACAGCTTGGATGGCATCATGATCTGTGACGATGATGGGGGAATCAAATGTTTCCTATTCCTCCACCATACGCCATCCCTAGGTTCTGAGATTTCTGGGGATGCCTCTGGGCGTTGGGGATCAGGAAGTAGGTACTCTTTAATGTCAGAAAATCACTGCTACTGGTTATCTTGAGATCCCCAGAATCTGGGGGGAAGGAGAATTAGGAAACATTCAATTCTCCTAAACCCGTCACTGATTATATCATCTGAGTTGCGCAGTGCAAAGTTGATTTTAGCCATTTTGTAAGAGTTGCTGCTTTATTACAAATCTGATCATACGAATGACAAATTTTGAATCATGCTATATAGGAGTGTACTCTGCATACTCTTGGCAGCAGAACAACAAACACTCTATTGTTGAGTAAACCCTCTACAACACAATTTTTCAGCATAATCTTTGTTTCACACTACGGTACTTCACACTATTACCAAATATACGTATAATTTCCTTGTTTATTTTAAATGATCTGCTTTTAAAATCAGTTTCAATTAACTTTACCTGTCAGTTAACACAATTGGCTTCTCCAGCTTCTCTATAGGAAGTTTATGATGCTCAAGAAGCCTTTTAAACAGAAGGGCTTCTTCTACTCTGTATGGGTTCAACATAATTATTTTTGTCTGAGAAGCAATTATCCATGCATCAGGAAAATTCAGAAGGTGAATGAGGCAATGTTCATCTTTATCCGATATGTTCTGTTCAAGTACATGAAGTTTCTGTTTCAGAGAATCCATAGAGAAGGGCACTTGTAAAATTTTTGCTGTCTGGCAAATATTTTTCTTTTCCACTGGAGAATTAAAAAGTGTGTCAAGCTTCAGCTGATTAGATAGACAGTCTTTCAGTTTGGCCTTCTGTCGTTTCTCTTTTTCTTTTGTTGATCTCTGCATACATTCATTCTTTGCATTTCTGCTTTGCCTACTGTAGCGCTCCAAGTCTCTAACAGCTTTTTCCTCATATCTTGCAAACAAAAAGATTAAAGGGATGAAGAATAGCAAAAAGGTAGAGCATAAGGGAACAGATAATAACTGAATAGCCAAATAGTTTATTAATCATCTATATAATGAAAAATGGCTATTTTTCCTCTGCCACAATCCAACTGCCACCTGTACTCAAAGTTTATTACTGTAATTAAAAAACATGGGAAGCAGGCAGAGACTAATAGACCGGTTCCAATAGTGTGTTTTCACTATTAGTGAAATCCAGACCCTCAGCTATCTTTGGAGAGCTAGTAAACCTTCTGGAGTCAGTTATTGGGAGATACAAAAAGACTGCAAGGGACAGGGGAAGGGAATAACATTTCCTTAGAATTACTAATGCCAGTAACAGCTTAGGTTCAGCTCAATAGCTTGCTCCACTTTAATATCCCAATTGTAAACAGAATCAAATCAATCAAATAAACAATATAATACCCAACTACATGTTACTCTCATTATTCCTACTAACACAAAACCTGGAGACCAAAGTTCTGAAAGACAACCACATTTTAAAAAGAACACAAAACTATTCTTTTCCTCTTCCACAATGCAATTTCTACCCTACTCAAGGTTTATTAATTATTTATTCATTAACATTTTTTCTTTTTTTCCTCCAAAGATCAAACAGCTTTCTCTCTGGTAGTCAATCTTGCCTCCTTCTGGAAGATGCTATCTCCTTCTAGACAGCAGAATGCTGTACTAAGCTGGTTTCCAGAGACTATAGGATTCTTGTCAGCAATTAATGTAGAACTGATACCTTACTTTGAATCTTGTTATCAGTGCTTGGAAATGACATACTAGAATCTCACTGGAAGGATAAGTAAATTGATGTAAATGTCAGGATCCTATGGTTGTTTGTGTAACGATGTGGCTGATTCTGTGGCTAATCAGTGAGGTGCTGAGGCATATCTTGGTCATGTGCCTGGTCACATGCCTGATGGCACAAACTGAGGAGCATTTCTCTTCATTGTCAGTTAGTGGCAATTAGCTATGACAATTTATGTAAATCTTATATGAACGCCAGTAGGATTCTTGCCAATTTTAAACTGTTGCTTTCAAATCATTACTGCTGACAGTTTAATTTTAAAAGCATCAGCTTGCTTTTCCTCCTATATGCAAAAATAAGGATTTTAAAATTAACACAATTTTATGTTTGGCTTATTGTAGGAAAAAGGAGGTAAAATGTAAGCATAGTCTTTGACTTAACTGAAAGTTAATACTTACCAACTTTCTGTTACTATAACTACACTGATTAACCATCACTGTACCTTATGGGACTTGCTTATGGTAAACACGCTCAGTAAAAGAGACACAACTAAAATTCTAAATTGTAGACTAAGGCCAAATATCTTATTAATTAAAAAACATGGAATTTAGGAAAATCAGCAGATGGGACTTACGATGATTATTACAGTAGCACCTAATAATAAATGAGAATGTGTGTCCATGTGGTCTGCCTAGCCTAAAGATAATAAATGTGCTTTTAAAATTTGCCATGAATGCCAGGCAACTCCTAGTGATGTACAGCCTAGTTTATTTCATTTTTAAAATGTATTAATTGCAGTACCATCTTCAGTCACTGGCAAAAATCCCTAATCTCTTCTGGGGAAAAACTTGCAAGCAGAACTAAAATATTCATTTTTCCAGAATGTATTTGGGCAGCTTCCACATGGTGCTAAATGAATCCCAAACTTTTCCAACATGTAAAACAGGGAAAGAGGGAAAAGAAAAATGGCCAATATCCCATTAAGCGGAGGGACAAGAATGAGCAGAGGGAGAAGTTAAAACACCCTGTTCAGGGAAAGAAAGCTCAACAAGAAAGAAAAAGGAGCACAGAAAGACAAAGACAAAGCACATTTAGTGATGTGGGGATTAATTGATTTCTATCATCTGGAGATTCTCAGTGTGGTATAGTGGATAAAGAGCTAGGACTCTGGAGAACAGGGTTCAAATGCCCATTTGGCCATGGAAACTTACTGGGGAAGTGGTGAAACTGGTGAAGCCACTCCTTAAATATCACACCTTGAAATCCCTATAAGGATCATTAAGTTGGTTCCAACTTAATGGCATAGAACACACATACATAATCTGCAAAGATCAAAACTTCTGCTAAAAAGGAACCATTGCATCTTACTTTAAGTAGTGGCCAGAATCCTATTGGTGTTTGGGTAAGGTTTGTGCAACTTAATATGGGTAATTGATGAGATGCCAGGATGTGCTTCAGTCACATACCTCATTCATAATTGACTGTGCAACCAAGATGTGTTCCAGCACCTTGTGAATCAGCCATGGTAAGTTACGCAAACATTAGTAAGATGTTAGATGCTAGTCCTTTATCAATTCCCAACAACAACTTTATTCTATTTCCACCTAATCAGAGGTAACCTTTCTATAGATTCAGAATAAATATGGGAGAAAACATTATCTATGCTGTTGTTCTTTTTAAAATTTTTAAATAAGACAGAATATACAAAACCATAAAATAGTTATGGACCATCAAACCCCACACAGTAAACATATAAAATGTTATCATTAGTTAACATAACATATACAGTGGTGCCTTGCTAGACGACGACCCTGTTAAATGACGAATCCGCATAACAATGACTTTTTGCGATCGCTATAGTGATTCGCAAAACAGTCATTTCAATGGGCGATTTTCACTTGACGATGGATTTGGTCCATGCTTCACTAGCCGAGCGCGATCGGCACTTATCTGGAGGCGGGGAAGGGCACGGACTGTTGGCCAGTGAGCTTGCCGCCTGGGGCGCCCATACACCAAGTGGGGCAGGGGGAGAGCGGCCGAGGTTGGCTGGTCTTGCCACCGGCTGCACCTCAGAAGCGGTTGGGGAGTCCCCCCGGTATCGGTCTCCTGGCTGGGGACTGATTGGGGAAACCCCTCCTTTGTGGTAGTGGCTCCTTTAGAGTGCTTCATTCATGGCGGAGTGGGGAAATCCCTTCCTGGTGGATTGCAGAGGAGCTCCTTTATGCCGGGGATTGATTGGGGAAACCCCTCCTTTGTGATACTGACTCCTTCAGAGTACTTCATTCAGGGTGGAGTGGGGAAATCCCTTCCTGGTGGTTCACAGAGGACTGTTTATTTGCAAGAGGACGATTTTGACAGCTCGCTCCATACTTCAGCTGTTCACAAGACAGTGATTTTACAGCTGATCGGCGCTTCGGAAAATGGGCGATTTTTCGCTGGACGGCAACGATTCCCGTGATACTGACTCCTTCAGAGTACTTCATTCAGGGTGGAGTGGGGAAATCCCTTCCTGGTGGTTCACAGAGGACTGTTTATTTGCAAGAGGACGATTTTGACAGCTCGCTCCATACTTCAGCTGTTCACAAGACAGTGATTTTACAGCTGATCGGCGCTTCGGAAAATGGGCGATTTTTCGCTGGACGGCAACGATTTCCCCCCATTGGAACGCACTGAACAGGTTTCAATGCATTCCAATGGGGAAATGGTTTTCGCTAGACAATGTTTTCACAAGACAGCGATTTCAATGGAATGAATTAACATCTTCTAGCGAGGCACCACTGTATTACATGAGTGGCTTGGGAATTGCTAAGAGAATCTGTATGATTATTACAATACTGAATAAAAGGAAGCCAGGTTTTATGAAACAAGTCTGTACTGGAATTCTGGTACCTCAGTTGTGAGTGGGCAGTGAGTTTTTCCATCAAAACTAATTTCCATACCCTAGATTCCCAAGCATTCATTGAAATTTCTGCAGCTGTCTTCCAACATTGAGCAACCGTTTGTATAGCTGCTACACACATGGAAGTAATTCGCTCTTTATGGTGTAGTCGTGCATCGGAATCTAAATTCATTAATCCTAATGCTGGACTTATGACCATACTCTGATGTTATATTTCTATTTTTTTCAAACATCTTAACATTATATATTATAGGTCAATGCCACCAGGAATGTAAATAGGTACCAATTTCTTTACAGTCTTTCCAACTATTTGCATGCAATTTTTTGTTTATATGATTCAGTTTCAATGGGATATAATAATATCTGAGGATTTATGCAGTTATTCAAAAACAAAATTAGATACTCAAATAATCAAGCATGATCTTGCCTTTTTAGTTGATTTAAAATAATGTCCAACACATGCATATCAGAACATGTTCTTTTCCTTCACAGTAATTAATATGCAAGTTCTGTAACCGTATAAGTATTTTGCAAATCCAAAATGGGAGTTTTCTGAGCTATTTAGATTTGTTATCTCCTTTCCAGTTCAGACGGCATAGGGTGCAAACACTTGGATTTCTACAGTGTGTATTGAAATGTTGCAAGATAAGAGTTCCCATCTTCAGTTAGAAAATCTGATTACAAAAATAGCTCTCCAGTGGTTGCTAATATCTGAATTTGACCTGAATGAAAGTATGGAAGCTTTATTATAATGTTAAACCTTATGTATACAGAAATAATGTGTACTTATGTTTGTGATGCCTTAAGGGCAAATAGCAATTACATAATACACAGTATGAACTTAAAGTAAGTTTTGCTTACAAGAGGATGTAAAATCATGTGCTGCAAAAACAGAGGTTACCTGTAACTGTTGTTCTTCGAGTGGCACTCTTGTGAATCCACACAAATGGGTTAAACTGTGCCTGCGCAGGACTCTTCGGAATATTCTAGAGCTTAAATAATGGCAAGTGAAATGTCTCCCTGTATTGCGCATGCTCCGCCCACCAGTACCTCAGTTCTGAATATCCGCTGCTGTAATGGCTCTGAAAATTAAATGCCAAAAATAGTTGTGACAGATAGCGGGGAGGTTGGGCGGGACATGTGGATTCACAGAGTACCACTCGAAGAACCACGGTTACAGGTAAGTAACCTCTCTTTCTTCTTCGTGGTCTCTGTGAATGCACATGAATGGGTGACTAGCAAGCTCACTTACCAGAAGGAGGGTGGTCGCGGCAAAACTGAAGTCAACACAGCCCTTCTGAAGCTTGTTTCTTTCTTTACTCTGACATCCAGTCTATAATGGGTAGCAAAGGTCAATGGAGTAGATCAGGTCGCTGACCGACAGCTGTCAGAGAGTTCAATGCCACGCAGCCATGTGGTGGAAGTAGCCATGGCTCTGGTGGAATGTACTTTGGACACCTCTGGTGGAGTCTTGCCAAGCGATAGCAGAAACCAATCATCTGGAAAGAAGGAAGATCTAAGAACTCTAGCAGGTAACCAAAATGTATGATGGTGAATACCACAGTGTCTGTTGGTGATGTTGGTCCACTTGTTGAAAAAGGGGACTAGCTGGGGAAGGACAGTCAAAGATATTGTTTGCCCTTCTTAGCAGGGCGACAAGAAATGTTGGCGGTGCTGATTAGAAGGTTGAGGTCGGAAGGACGTGGCAGCCGAAGGAGGAGGGACACTTGATCTTTCCTGGGAAGGTTTATACTGGCGGTAGGTTTCCTGGTAAGGTTGTTGGTATGTCTGATGGGTGGTGAATGGTCTGCACCATTGCTATCACTGAAATTTAGGTTGCTGGAGATAATATGATCTAGCTGTTTTTCTAATTTTGTGTAGATTTTCTATAACCTCATCTGCTTTTTCGTTAAATAGCCCAGCACCGTCAAAGGGGAGTTCCTCAATTCTTGACTTGGCATCATTGTTGATACCTGATGAGCGTAACCAGACATGTCTCCTCAGAGCGATGGCCGATGTCATAGCCTTGGAAGCTGCATCAGCTCTGTGACGCGATGCCAGATGCTGCCGTTTAGCTAGCGTCCTCGCTTCCAGGTGAGTGTTTAAGGCCACAGTTCTAGTATCCTCAGGGGCAGTTTGGAGAATTGGAAGAATTTTATTCCACAACTGCCTCTGATAAGCGCCCATTGCTGCTTGGTAGTTGGAGACTCGCATAACGAATGTAGCCAAGAAGTATAGACGACGGCCCAGCACATCCAGCTTGTGGCCCTCCCTGTTGATAGGGGTGACCTTAGAGCGGTTTCCTGCTCTGGACTGCTTTGATTGCACAACTATAGAGTTCAGTGCAGAGTGTTTGTTGAGGAATCCTGTATCACTACCGTGCGTTTTATAGTGGTTCTCTATTCTCCTGGAGATCTGTAGAGAGGAAGGAGGTTGTGCCCAAGACTCTTTGATGAGGTCTAGCATCGCTGGTATAAAGGCTAAACTCAGAGGAGGTGATCTCTCTTAATTAATATCCTCAAGCACTAGGTCGTGTTTTGGGGGGTGGAGGCTGATCTATACTCAATTTCAGTGATTTAGCCATGAGCATGATTAATTGCGAGTAGGACGTGAAATCACCAGAAGGAGAGGGAGGATGAACATAAGCAACAGCCGAGTCAGGGGTGGGCAGATTTGAGGGCGATTCCTTGGACGGCTCTGATTGGAGGTACTGTTTGGATTCAGACGATATGGAAGAACCTCTTGATTCTCTATCAAAGGTTAGAGATGGTGAGGGTGAGTGGTGCTGGGATCTTGATACAGAGGCTGTAGGTAGTGAAACAGGTGCAGCCCTCTCTGCCTTGGGTGGATGTATGGATCTTGAAGGTGCCCGAGATGATCAAGTATGGGCTACCATAGACTGTGGTACTGAAGACAACGGTACCAATGGGGCTCTAGGTCTCTTTTCTATGTGAAGAGCACGCTGGTCCTGATATTGTTGCTTAGAAGGAAGCTTTGCAGCTATCGGATCGAGCTGGAGATAGTCCCGGAGGTGAGGGCGATAATGATGACTCTGATGATGCTTACACGTATCACACCCTCTTTGGTCTAATGTAGTCCCTGGCAATCTATGAAGGGGGATTGAGGACTACGGCATCTCCTTCATGGGTTGTTGCCCCTTCATGGATTGCTGCCTTGTCATGGCGAAGGGGCTTAAGTAACACAGACACCTTCGACACCAATGTCGACCTCAGTGCCGAAGGTTTCTTTGATTTTGACAATTTTGAAGAGGCCTTAGAGGATGGAGTAGCCAGTGCCAGCGAAGCAGCGGGGTCGGGGCGAGGAGTCAAAGGAGCAGATATAACAGTAGCCTCCATGGCTGTCGGGCCCAGCGGTCTCAATGACTTCTCCCACAGATAAGAGCATAGTCGTTGCAAACACAGCTTTAAGGCTGGTTTAGTCAACTTTTTACACTCGTGACAGGATCCGGGCTGATGTCTTCCCCTCAAACAAAACAAACAGCGTCCGTGAATGGAATTTTATTTGCACACACACCATTGAACAGACCTGAAGAGGCCATAAAATTTGGCGGGAACCTGACAGATAGTATCGATTGAAAGAACTCACGGGAGACCTAAGTAGATAATTTGAAGTCCTAGTCAAGCCAAAATATCAGTCTGAAAAATAGAATCAAGTAATCCAATAATATAAGTCCAAATCGTAATCCAAAACAACACGATGAACGGTCCGAGTTCAAAGCCAATTAATCACAGAAATAACAGTACAGAATGAGAGAGAATGGAAGGTCAGGGCAGTCTGGGTCATTAAGCCAGATAAGAATCGTAGTCAAAAACAATCTGAGGTGAAACCAGAAATTTTTAAAAGAAGAATTAGCTCTAAGCAATTTGAAGTAGTCCAACTGCAGTGGCAGCAAAAAGGAACTGTGGTACTGGCGGGCAGAGCATGCGCGATACAGAAAGACATTTCACTTGTCATTATTTAAGCTCTAGAATGTTCCGAAGAGTCCTGCACAGGCGCAGTTTAATCCATTCATGTGCATTCACAGAGACCACGGAGAATATTAAATGTATTTTATCCAGATGGCCAACACATTTCACCACAAAACAGAGAGTAAAATAGATATTTTTCACTCATTATAAATCAGCAAACAGTAGACAATTAGCAGTAAAATATCCAAGCAACATGCTACAACCATCAAAGAAAAACATTTTCCACTCTCTTTTTTTCAAAGGGATAAAGCGACCTCTTATTTTTGGATATGATGAATTGTGCAGCGTGGAAACTTGAAAAGTCTGTTAACTTACTTTTTTTTGTCTTCCTCCTCCAGTGCCTTCCACATTTCTTCCATTTTTAGCATTAGTTCTTCTGCACTCACTTTGGCATTTTTTGTCAACAACCCAGGACGATGGTCTTGAGCAAAGAGGGCAAATGCTGACATTGGTTTCCTTATTATCTGGCTGCTTATCATATCATAGGCTTTAATCTGTCCCACTTTATTATCTACAACATTTGTTTTTTTCATGTTCCGACTGTCATCTTTCTGTTGAAGTTTTTGTTGGTCATCTCCACTGTTCTTTGTTTGGGCTCTTATTTCTTCTCTCTGGGGAATTAAAATCTGAACAGGGTTCAGGTTTTCCCCTCTGGAACTTTTAAATGCATTCCCCAGACTCCATTTATCAGCTGTGACTTCAAAAGAATCTTTTAGGGTTACAGTTCCCACTCCTTTTTCTGTTTCTTGGAAAAGGCCATTTCCCAAACCATCCTCAATGCTATTTTTAGAACTAATGCCCATTAAGGTATTGCTGTCTAAGTTAAATATTACCTTAGAATTTTCTTGCTGGTCCTCACATACTAATTTACTGAGTGAGCCATCCTGAAAACTGTTAGATCCATCTGTTTCATTGCCAGATATATCTGTTTTGCTAGGGAAAATCTGAGCTGAATTATTATACAATGTTTGATTTTCTAAACAGACTTCCATGGTTTTTCCTATCTCACTGTTTTGCGCATCATTACGAAATGAAAATAATGGTCCACATACATGTGGATCTATATGTTGATCGGACTTAGTTTCATTGACAGATACACCTGTTTGTGCTGCCTCACTAAAAGACAGGTCTCCTGCAGTAGCATCAGTTTTGTCTGTTCCACAAGAAGTAGTTTGGCACAGAGGTCCATACATGGATGTCAAAACATCATCCATAGCTTGACAAATGGACTCCTAGAAAGAAATCCCAAAGCATTATAATACATTCCAAATGCGTGTTATTCAGCGAATATTACATCAAGTCAAAAGTCTGGTTTTGCTCTTTTTAAAGATTTAAAATCATGCCAAATGGACAACTGGCGTAGGAACAATTAATATATTAAAAAAATCTAGTACGCTTTTATTATAATAATTAAATGGAAACTACACAGTTCTATAAGACATAAATTCATATCGATCGATACAGATACATATTTTTATACTGTACCTTATTATGCAGCAGTACTTGAGATTTATCTGGTGTTAAGTTGACATCCAGAGCAGATGGAGGAATAGCAACACTGATTAAGAAAACAGGGTATAAACGACTGGAATCTTTGTTCAACTTCTCGTTATAATACCGTTGAGTCAACTAAAAATATAAAAATAAGGTTGAAAAGGTTCTTGCTAGATTGGAATAAATGCAATACAGAACTATAATACAGTTTCTTATCTTCTGCATGTACACACGCCAATATAGCTTGGTACTATCTGCCTAACAGAAAGATGGCAGTCCTTGTGATTTAGACAGTTGTGATTTTTGGTAACCAACTTTGGGCCTAGCCAGGTGCCATTCTACTGTAGCAGAATAGTCTTTCCATCTACAGTTATTGCCTTGTAAAAATGGATGTGACTATCAAGATGGTCTAAATCAGAGGTCCCTAACCCCTGGTCCGTGGCCCAGTGCCCGTACATGGCCTGAGACGGACCAGGCCGTGGAGACAGACCTCTCCCCTGTGCATGCACTCACCCATGCACAGCTGTTTTGCACATGCGCGTGCGCTCCAGCACACCCATGTGAGTGCTGTGCCACCATTTGCGCATATGCATGAGTGAGAGAGCGCATGCACAAATGCCACCGTTCGTGCATCCACATGCTTGTTTGCACATGCGCACAAGCATGGGGGGTGCCCTGCCTTCCCCAGCCAGTCCGCGGGGTGAAAAAGGTTGGGGACCCCTGGTCTAAATGACACAACACTGGTAGAGTGCAGCTCCAAGTTTACAAGAATAATAAATAATGCATTCATTAATTGCCTATTAATAATCTGTGAGCCATTGTACTGGACATATTACAAGACTCACTGGAAAATATGGTAAGGTTAGATAAAGTGGAAGACCAAACGTGAGATGAACTGATAACGCAAAAGAAGCAAACACCCTTAGTTTGTAAGACCCAAATAGGATTGCTAATGACAGGAGCTCTTGCAGGTGATTAATTCTAAAGAACTACATATCAGAAGTGACACAACAGCATGTAACAACAATGATGCACAAGACCCACTTTTAAAAATCAATTTATTTTACAATCATAGAAAAATGGAGTTGGAAAGGGCCTACAAGGCCACCAAGTTCAACCCTAGAAGAAAACAGAAGAATAGCACAGCTAGGATCCAAAGAACAATGCAATTCCACAAAGTGGAGTTTGGAGCTGCCATCTCTACCAATGCAAACTTATTCTTAAATTGACAAGTTTCAGTTTGTTGTTTTCTGCCAAGTAAAAATGGGGTGGTGCTGGTGCTGGTTAATAAGTACAGGTAATATTGTTACTTGGTTCCTAGCCAGTATTTTCTCTTTCACAGAGAAGGGACTAAATGTTGGAACATGCAGATCAATTGTGTCCCAGTATGCACTGGGTGATTCTGCCAATCTACCCTGCTACTGGGATGCTATTATGCATTGATCACTTCCTGCCCTCCTCTCTCTTGTGTGCCTTCTTCCTTGAAGAAAGGCCTTTCCAAGATGGAGACTGCCTGAGCACATGCTATCTGATGGTTTACTCTCCATCCACACTTGCATCTATGCCAACCAGCTTTAGTGGGTGGTTTACCCAGTTTAGAAACATTCTTTAAAGCTAAAGAAACTTGCCTGGAATATATAAGACAAATGCCTTTTTTGTTTTTCCATGAATGCAAAATGCTATATTTTGACCTTTGCTACTGAAACTAAAGTCTGTAGTTAATAAACCTTTTATAAAGTTATTACAAGTTAACTCCATGTTTTGACTCTGTAATTAGCTCATTGAAGGTAATTGGTCAGAACACACAATGATCTCTAACACTAAAAAGGGAATACCTTGAGAATTTGTTTCTGACACACAGGTCGTTTGTTTATGAACATGAAGCTTTTGTCTCCATTTGAATGACTTGTCAAATGGTGATCTGAATCAGGCTTTGGAAGGAAGCCACTGAGAAATACCTGGAACAATAACAATATGTCTGTAAAAAGTGACATAAAAGTATTGAGCTCATGATGGTCAGTTGATGAACCAATATGAAAATGCAAATGACAAAGCAGAAATTACTCTGGATTTAGCTATGTGTATTTCATAAAGAAAGTTCTATGTCACCTGTAGATATAAAATGAAGGTAGTGTACAATTTAAAAAAGATCTTAAAGCAGAGTAATAAAGAATTCAACACGAAAGTGGAAAATCAAATCCCACTCAGGTTTGAAAGGGTGCTCCCAAAAGGGTTTTTTTAAATTGCGCAGGCACAGTTCTTCTACAGATGATTTCATCATCTACTTGTAATATTTTTTCCTACCAGGAAAATCAATAATAGTAAATGTTGCTTTAGAGAAGGAAGATAACACTGAGCAATCAGCTACTTTTTCTGTTCCTAATCTATTCTGTAGATAGTGCCGGTGAACGCTGGTAAACGCTGCTGATGAATAAAGCCATCTTCCCATTGAGTTGATCCTTCTACGGTCTTTATTTGGTGTATGAGGATCTGTCGATGTTGAGATTTCGATTGTGAGGCTTTAACAAAAATAGAGTTTGGAGCTGGCTGTTTTTGGAGAAATAAAGCTCCAGGGTCATGGACTCTATAGAGGTTATCGATTCGTTTAGACATGGTATGGGAAGAGGCTGGTTTTGTCCAGGATTATTGAGCAGTGCTAAGTAGCGATGGCAGCATTAAGATATGTACTGGAGTCGTTGTATCTTTAGAAATTGGGTTGTATAGATGATTGGCTGGTTCTATCGAAAGGTGATGGATTTGGAGATCAAGAGACTTAGCCATACAGATCGTAAGTTGGACATAAGTTTTGAAGTCGTCCGCCGGTGATGGATCGAGGATCATCGATATCAGAGCCTGTGTCTCAGTGATGTTGAAATGGAGGTTGTTGCCGAGTTGGCAAAGCAGCGGAGTATATAAACACTGGAGATGCCGAGTGAGAGGAATGGTTTCCCTCATCTGGGTTAGCATGAAAATAGCGAGAGGCCTGAGCTGTAAAGGCCTCACGTGTAAAAGAATGTTGCTTGACCTTTCTGGGTCTTTTAGGCGCCAGGTAGGGAGCAGGTTGAAGTCCGTTGTGGGTCATGGTGATATGGCCATTTCAACACCAATGGCTGTTGAGATCGAGGCCCACTGTGGGAAGGTGCGACCAAACTGGATAGAACAATTGGCTGATTGGCGGTCGTGGCTTGTCCGGTCGAGCACTGGTCAGGGCAAATGGCAACTCAGTGAGAGTGCTGAACCCGGGTCTGAGCCACATGTGATGGAATAGACAGCTCCAAGGATTGTTGGGGTCGATGTCTCTGAGGAGGTCGTGGTGGACGGTCAGATGTCACCGAATAAGGCATGGTCTCCAGTTGTTGTTCGGAGTCAACCCTTTTGGGTGAAGCAACTACGGAAGGGTTGCTTGAAAGAACAGAGTGTTGAGGACTGGGAGGAGAAGATGTTAACTGATGGACTCTGTCATCCCATTCCGGTGACTGAGAACAGGGTTGATGAGAGGGGACTCCATCATCGTCAGAAGGCGAGCCAATAGAGATTGATCTGCAAGTTTGTTGAGGCTGCTTAAATTTATGTTGTTTGGGTCTTTTAGGCCGAGAAGGCTCTGGAATCAAAGAGGCTTCATTGGACATTTGGCGTTTAGCGGAGGGCTTCAATATCGAAGATTTTGGTATCGAGCACTTTGGTTTATTGGGTTTTGGAAGTTTTAGACGAAGTGGACAGAGCATTGGAGTGGGATAGTGTGGTCGATGGACGTTTTGAGGCTTCAGTTTGATAGGTGGCCTTACAAGGAAGTTGGGCCATTTTAGTTGGTTGAAGGGATTGTTCTCAAAGATGGGGTTTTAACCTCGAGAGGTGAGAATGGAGAACTCCGCGCTTGAAGCTCTTACAATGCTGGCAGGAGGACGTTTGGTGTGTCTCTGTCAAGCAAAAAAGACACTTAATGTGGCCATCGAAGAGTGGTATTTTGTTATCACAGATCATGCAGTGTTTAAACGGGCCCAAAGGGGCAATGAATAAGAAAAAAAACAATTTGGAGGGAAAACACGATGACTGAGGAGGAGGACGAGTGGCTCCGACTGGAGGCTGAGCAAGGTAAAAAAGAAAAAATATCTCTGAGATAATAAATTTAATCTATTCTAATTCTAAAGGAAAAAAGATTTAAAATAGGAAGGAATCAAGAATAAACTCTCTTTCTCTTTTACTCATAGAAGCAGAACTATGAGGCTCTCAACGCAGCGGTTGAAAGAAACTGAAAGGGGAGCCTTCACGCCAAGGTACTTATATGAGGGGGAGGGGCCTATTCTAAGATGTTTTTGCTACCGCAGACGCTCTAGAACTTTCAATGAGGCTTCGTGTAGGCACGGATCACCCAGGGTGTGATTCACAGAGGTCACGAAGAAGAACAAACCCAGGTCATCTGAGTTTTAGTCTGTCATGCTATCCACTACAGCACTCTGAGCATCTGGAGCAGCATCTCAATTGCTTCAATCCTGTTCAGTTTCTGGTGGCCAACCAAGGCTGTGTTGTTTCAATATGGTCTTTGATGATTTAAACAAATTTTACATCTGGCTTTTAAATAATTCTAAAAATTAATTCTTTAGCGTTCCGTGTCTAAGTCGCACTGGCCATGTGACCATGGAAGATTGTCTTCGGACAAACGCTGGCTCTATGGCTTGGAAACGGGGATGAGCACCGCTCCCTAGAGTCGAACGCGACTGGACAAATTGTCAAGGGGAACCTTTACCTTTAAAAATTAATTTAAATAATTTTAAATTTTATTTTAGTGTTTGGGAGCACAGGTGAGCAGAAAAGTAATAAATAAATATTTTAAGTAAACAAAATAAGAAATAAATATTTTATTTCCCAGCAGTTACTTCAATGCTTTGCCTGCAGGGCACATCTGAAGAAATGCGCCAGAAAGACTGTTCTGGAAACAATCTAAGTTCTCCCCACCTGTGTCTATGAGGGACAGCAGGTGATTTCAGAGTTAAATTGAAGTGAATGAGGTACAGCTGACTGATCTTTCAAAGGGAACAATATGGAAAAGCAGTCCAGATCTAAAGAGCAGTTTATCTGCAGCTTTTCTTATTCAGTTAAATATCTATAACCCCAATCCTAAATAATATTACAGTGGTGCCTTGCACAACGATTGCTTCATACAACGATGAATTCACACAGCGATGGTTTTTTTTGAGGAATTTCCCCCATCGTTTAACGATGTTCTCTATGGGGGAATTTCACTTAACGATGTCCCTTTTTGCTCATTTAAAAGTGTCTTAAAATATTTGAAACCTGTTTTAAATGCTTGGATTCCATAGTGCACCTTGTGAAACATGTGCAAACTTAATTTGGTTTTGTTCTGAGTCTTCATTAATTTTTGGTGATTTTTTTATTTTCCCCATTTAAATCAATTGAATGGACAGTTCAATGCATTTAAATAGGGAAAACATAAAACTTACAATGTTTGGAACAGGTTTTAAATGCTTGCAATCGTTAGCCCACCTCCTGAACCCTATGCAAACTTAATTTGGTGTCGTTCTGAGTCGTCCTTAAATTTTGGTGATTTTTTGAATTTTCCGTCCAATGCATTCCAATGAGAAAAAATTCAAAAAATCACCAAAAATTAAAGACGACTCAGAACAACATCAAATTAAGTTTGCATAGGGTTCAGGAGGTGGGCTAACGATTGCAAGCATTTAAAACCTGTTCCAAACATTGTAAGGCACTTTTACAGGAGCGAAAAAGGACTTCGCAAAGCCATTGAAATGTATTGAGTCGGCTTCAATACATTCCAATGGAGGAAACATTGTTTCACTCAACGATGTTTCCTATGGGTTTTTTTTACTTAAAGACGGCAATCCGTTCCGATTGGAACGGATTAACCGGTTTTCAATGCATTCCTATGGGAAATGGTGTTTCACTGAACGATGTTTCACACAATGTTGATTTTTTTGGAACCAATTAACATCGTTGTGTGAGGCACCACTGTACTTGGTAAGCAACCCCTTTATATGTAGTTAAATTCCTGACAGTATGTTTAATATTGCAGCCTAAATTATCTCTTTTTCACTTGATTATTGTAAAAATGTACTGTGTGAATTGGTAGTATACAGGTATACTCTGCAGTAAATTCTCTCATATACCTACCCTGCTTCCCTGAAAATAAGACAGGGTCTTATATTAATTTTTGCTCCAAAAACGCATTAGGACTTATTTTCATGGGATTTTTTTTCCATGTACAACAATCTACATTTATTCAAATACAGTCATGTCATCTTCTGGTTGCTGCACAATGGCGGAGGGCAGGGTTTCATTTAACTAGGGCTTATTTTGGGGGTAGGGCTTATATTACGAGCATCCTGAAAAATCATACTAGGGCTTCTTTTCAGGTAAGGTCTTATTTTAGGGGAAACAGGGTATCAATTGGAGAAATACATTGGAGAAATTACAGTGTTGCCTTGCTTAACGGGTGCCCCGTTTAACGACGAAATTGCATAGCGACAAAGATTTTGCGATCGCTTTTATGATCGCATTGCAATGTTTTAAATGGGAAAAAATCGCTTTGCGATGATCGGTACCGTTTCGCTTACGGATCATCACATAGCGATGATTTTCCAACAGCTGATCGACGGTTCCAAAATGGCCACTGGGTAAAAAAAAGGCCACCCACTGTTTTCTGGGACAGATTCCTCGCTTACCAGGCAGCGAAAATGGCCACCGTATGGAGGATTTTCGCTTAAATGTGAGTTTTAAGCCCATAGGAACACATTGAAGGGATTTCAATGCATTCCTATGGGCTTTTTAATATCGCATAGCGACGAAATCACTTTGCAGCGATTTTTGCTGCACAGATTATCGTCACTATGCAAGGCACCACTGTAATTCAAGTGACTGTAAGCAAACTAAATAAAAGTGTGTCTATGTATTCTTAATGTGCATTTTCAGTCACCAAAACATACTGCATGCAGCAACAAGTGAATTAAATTTCACTGCAGTGGCTTCTCTTTTTATGTTTTTTAATTTAGTTAGTGGCATAGTGCTACAGCAATACATCAACCCATCATGGATACTCCCTTATATCTGAAAAAGCACTGCATCTCTTAGGAGAATATTCTTTAAAAATTGCGAGCAGAGGGAATGAGAGACAGTTTATCCGCCATCCTTTTTACTGTCACAACCCACTGCATATGTCACAAAACTGTCGCCAAAGAGAACTCTACTCATAGCTCTGATTGGAAGCAAATTAAACAGACAGCAAAAAGGGATAATCAGGAGTGCCCCCAGTGGCACCAAATAAACCACAGCCCTAATGCTATGCCAGAAAGGAACAGAACAGCTCGCAAAAGGGGCAGGATCTATTGCTCTTACTTGAAACACACATTGTACCCAGAAAATAGGGCAAACTAAACTGTACCAAAAGTGAGCCAATAGTGAATTATACACTTATTTGATCACTCCCTTTAATTGTATGCCCATTTTTCTTTTAAAATGGAGGACCCTAAAATCTGTTGTAATGGTAAAACAATGAGCGGGGGGGGGGAACGGGACTCAGAGATGTTTAGAGACTTACCTCAGGATCTTCGCAGTGGTGCTGAAAAGGTTCCATGCTGCTCATCACAGCAGTTCCCACCACTGACATGAAAGCCATTTTGTGATCCAATACCCTGGTCTTTTGCCACATTATGGCCTGAAACAATACAGCATAGAGTTATATTTTTAACAGTAGGTTTAGATTTATTCAACATCTACCTGATACGTCCACAAATATGTGTATGTAACAGCACACTTGTTTGGTGTTATTAACATTTTATTCCTCAGAATCACACGCATCCCTTAGTTCCTTGTGAGTGAAGATCTGGTAAAGCATAGTGTGCTCCATGTCTATCATACTTCCCCTTCTTCCTTTTCTACCCATTAAATTATGCTTAAGCAACTGGGCTAGCTTTCAAAATAAATGAGCACAACTTGCCTATCTGTCTTCCAGTTCAAAGGGTTAGGTGTTATTTTTGACCCACTGAGAGGTCTTTTAGAAGCTGATACAGGCTCCTTGATTCAAAAATTCCAGTAGATCAACTAACTGACAGAGAAAAGAATATAAAAGTAATCTTTATAAAGATAAACGGGGTTACTGGTGCATGTTTAATAGTTTTCAAAAATGAAGGGGGACAAAGAATAAGCTTCTGTCTTCCTACACTTCAGAGTGCTATGTAATGGCATGTACACATTAATCTATAAATTGTGATCATTTTTATTTGGGAGCAGAAGCAATAATGCCTCGTGGTTCTTGAAAGTGCTATGTGGAATATAACAACAACAACAACTGAGGAATCAAACTCCCAATCACTGGATCCACAGCCAGATATCAAAACCACTAAGTTTATCCAGCAGTTCATCTGTCACATCCATGTTAAAGAATGTGACATACGAGCTGCTATAATTACAGCTCATATGTCACATTCTTTATAGTAGTTCAAATAAAGTCTGAGCTATCTCAACATTTTTGTACTACTTTAGGTACATCATGAGAAGGCAGGATTCTCTGGAAAAGACAACAATGCTGGGAAAAGTTGAAGGCAACAGGAAAAGAGGAAGATCAAATACAAAATGGACTGATTCCCTAAAGGAACCCATAGGCTTGAGCTTACAAGAGCTGAGCAGGGCAGTTGAGGACAGGACCTTTTGGAGATCTTTCATTCATAAGGTCACTATAAGTCAGAGGCAACTTGACAACACTTAACAACAACAATAAACCAAAATGCAGATAACTCATAAGCTTATATTATTAGTGCCAAGAGCGTGGCACTCAGTGGTCAACAGATTCTTCACCAGGTCTGTCATCATTTGTATGTAATGGTCAGTTCTCTCCCTGCAAATAAGAAGTCTAAGAGAGAGAGGGTTATTTCCAGTATTTTCTAAAGTATAAAGTATTATAATGTAGATAAAGAAGAGCAACCACTGGCTCAATATCTCAATGAACTAGAGTACCCGACTGCAGAGGCAGGAGGTAGGAATTCAATTCCCCACGGTGCCTCCCAGGAGAAGACCCAGTCTGTGTAGCCTTTGGCAAACTGCACAATCCCCAGGAAAAGCAACTGGTAAACTACTACTGAGCACACTACACCTAGAAAACTGTGTCAAGAGTCCTCATACATTGGAATCCACTTGATGTCATATACTTATTAACCATTAAAGAGCAATTAATGGATATGAACACACATTGGCGCCATCATCTTTGCTCTACTGGCGCTTATAAATGTGTTATACAGAAGTAAGCAACATTAAGCTTTTCCTCTTGGCAAACTACACAAACTGAGAGTGCAAAATAATATATTTTTATCGAACCAATTCAATTAGCCCATTTGTCATGGCAATAGGAAAAAAAATAGTCCTAATCCAGAATTACACATGCAACCATGTATCACTGCACAGAAAGTATAATGGTAGAGCACACAAATATTCAAAAGAGAAGTTCAGAACCATTTCATGTGTGGAGAGGGTTGGTGGTTTTGGAGTTATAGAACAGGAGAAACCACATACCACCACATACCTAAAGCATGACTAATCTACTTCTGTTTATACAATTCACTCAGTTTCCCTTCATGCAGTAACATTATGTGGATGAAGGACAAACAGATCACTTCCCCCCCCCCATGCAGTGGGATTTGCTATCAATTTGGACATACTGAATAGATTTTTTTTAATATGCAAGAACTCTGCTTTTGGAAGACTGGGTCAACCAAACTTTTTTTTCCAAGTAAGTGAACTTTTTCAAAATAAATACACTTTGCATTTATTTTTTAAATGATCATCAGTCTATCCAACTTAAAAAAGCAACGTGATGCAATGTTACTTGGAAATCATCCCAGAAAAAGAAATTGCTGGAAAAAGAAATGAAGATGTTACCTCACAAAAATAGGAAATACCAGCAAAATTTGCCATTTGTAAATTCTGAAATTCTGTGGCATAAACAGAGTCATGGACTAGAGCACAGTTTCAATAAATGCTGATGTTTAAATCAAATGATTACACCTAAGCTAAGATGCTTTGGCCACAATTCATATAAACATCATGGTGCTTATTTTAGCTTCTAACTGTGTGATGCCAGTGATATAAATCTTAGTTGCTGATTAATGCAAGGATGTTATTACACTGCCTGACCTGCTGAATGGCTGATATACATAACTCTTAAAAGATCACCTCAGTTTAAAAAAGGGGGGTTAGAGAACTCTAAGATATGAGATCTGACTCACTGCAAAGTTTATAAAAGTAGATAGAGCTTCTCAATGCATTTTTATTTATGTTTCTACTTCAGATGTGTGCAGGAATTCCAAACAGGAATTCATAGTTCTGAAGTAATCATTTATTGAAAAAAGAGCACAGAAGTAATGTGTTGTAAGGAATGATGTTACTTATAACACAGAGCTTTTTGATGTAATGGAGACAGGAATGTTATTTTTTTAACATAACAGAGCACCTGTTAACGTCTTGCATGTAATGTTTACTTGCTACTCTGAAATGTTGGTTTGTGGAAACCATTCTGGCATCCCTTCATTTTTATATTTTAAGTAATTTAAACAAAAATAATTTAAGACAAGTAATGCACTCCTAACATGGAGCTCTTAAAATGCTAACAAGTTATTTGGCAAATTAGAAACAATTTCCTTTTTAAAGTAACTTTCCAAGCTTCCGGTTAAACCTAGAAACATATCTGTACTTTTCACAGAGATTTGATTTCCCAATAGGCTTCTAGCACTGCTTGATTTATAACTTTGATTATACTCTGAAATTGTTCTATAAATACATTCACACACCCCCATGTATTTTCTAGGTCATATAAACCTGGGACCAATGATGAGCCAAGAATGAATATGACTCTAGGCAGTATGATGACACTGCAGAAGTACCCTATCAAAATATATTATTACACACAGACCATCTTAGGTTTTGCAAGAGCTGGCCAAATATATCTTGTCTCTTCTATGTTTCATTGAAAAGCATTACATGAATTGAAATAATACACAATCTTAATACTGATTTAGCCCAGTCCTTTTTTCTTCCATGTGGCATGTTAGGGAATTAGTCCACCTCCAACAATAATAAAATCATTGTATACTTACATCAATGATTCAGTTTCTCAGGGTTTCCCCTGCAAAATTTTGCTTAAAGTGACAAGCAATAGCAGGGAGTATGGGAAATTCATGAACCAAAATGTCAGAGTTCAACCATTTTCTCTGGAAAACCTATGGGTGTCAAAGAACATTTTAGCTGCCTATTAATTATAAGCATAAATGACAGTAAATTAGTTTGACATGTGAACTGTTACTGGTTTCTCCCTTTTTAAATCCAAAGGAGAACTCCATTAACTACCAGTTGTAGCAACACAGTCTCCCTTTCTGAAGTAGAGGCCACATCCATGACCAGAGTAGACTATGTCTAGATGGGCGGCATATAAATGCAATAAATAAATAAATAAATAAATAAATAAATAAATAAATAAGCACTGAGAAGACAAATACAGTAACTGAATCAAAACAAGAATGATTTTTTAAAATAATATGCTAAAATGGATCACCTATGTTTATGATGAACAAATGTCTTACTCCTAAAGAGGCAGTTTCGTCACTCACTTTTACCATCCAGCTAGGGAACAGTTCAATAAGCTTTTCTATTCGAGCACAGGCTAGGTGCATTTGCACGCTACAATAAACCAGAAATCCAGGCTTAATCAGCCATGACATGCATGGACAATTGAAAGCCAGTTTACAATCCTGGTTTGTTTAAAACCAATTCACCACTATTTGTATCTTACACACAACAGTAAGCTATGATTAACTTTGCATTCTTTATTATTATTCCTTTTTGCACAACAGAACCAAATAGACTAGGCAAACCCACATACTACTTGCATATATCTCCTAGGATTTTTTAACTAGGACTTTTTGCTTTGCACTACATGCTAACACAGCCATTGAACAGGGTCTGTTTTCCTGGGTTACTTAGTCTCTCTTGGTCAATGATACAAGTGCATAAATTCGTATGATATTTGAACCCATCTTAACTTGCTGTGAGTTCCAATATAAAAATACCTCACACATTTTCAATGTGTAGGAAACCATAACTTCTACCCAAGATAGATTGCTTCAGAGGCCAGAGCTGGCCCACAGTCTGCCAGATGGCCATCCCTCTTTTAAAGGACCTAACTTTAGAACCTTGTGTTAAAAAGTTACAAACAGATGAAGCCATATGTAGTACTGAAAGCTAATGCCACATGAAAAATAATACTAGGGCCAGGAGGTACGTGTTTCTACAAAAGTATTGCAAAGTACTTGTAAATTCCAAAGATGATGGATTCTGTGTCATTCATTAACAGGCAGCACTTAACTTAAAAAAATAGTTAAAACATTAAAAATTAAACATTTTTAAAAAACAGTTACTTAATGTGGTGCTCTATTATAAATCTCAATGACTGCAAAATGTGTCACCAGGCAGGATAATCATCTTTGATTCTTAGTTTACTTTCATGGAGATCAATCTGCTCCTCCTCTCTGTTCTGCAAGTCTTGAGCATGATATATTTTTCTATTACGTTTTCCCACTGTTAGTCTTAAGAGCAAATTCTGTCAACGTTATCATACTCAGATTTCTCCTTGCTCATCTGAGTCGTTCCTTTCACTGAGAAGGTATTCTG